TATTTATTTGAATTATCACAAGCCATATTCAGAGATATAGTAATATATAGATTTGCGTGAATCTGCTTGTGAATAAATTATGTGATCAGGTATGTCTAAGATAGTAGTGTTTTGTTCAAGATGATGTTACATTTGTAAGCGAAGTAAGTGTAGCGTATTTACTTCAAATTGTATTAATGTAACCAAATAAATTGATCACAATCGTTTGTTTTTACTAATAGCTTTGAAAATATATGAGGTTATTTGGTTCAAGTTTACATAAATAGAGTCTAGTAAATGCAATAGTTACTAGTAAAATTTACTACAACATCAGCCGAATTGTTAGAAAAAAAATAATGAATACAGCTATTTATTTACCAATAAATCAGAAGAAAAGTAAATACATTCGCTCCAACGCTGCACATAATTATATTTTATTTTTTTTAGAACGGTCTAAATGAAGAACTATACCATGATTAATCTGTCGTCGTTGTCATTACTTTATACTCTATTTATCTGGATTTTTATCGGTTGTCGTCTTCACTATTTACTTAAACAATCGTTATTATTCTTCATGAACTATGCTTCACTGAAAGGTAAGTAAAAGATTTCTTTTACATCCGGCTTTTATCCCATTTTAAAAAGAATTCAAATTATGGGTCAAACTCGATCTTGGCACGGTCGAGATAAATGACGTTTCTGACATATAAAAAAAACATAAAATCACGAAATTCGTGATTCCTTGGACTCCATAAAACATTTCTTAATTCTTGTTAGTCGTTGGAATACATGAAATAATCCCGATACATTCATCTGAATGTAAAGTTGTGAATTGCGGTTGGCGGTTGCGGACAGGCGCTGTAGCGTGCCAGACGTCTTCCTCCGTCAACTGACTCTTCAATTATATGCCTTTATTGAGCTTTCCCGTAGGATAGTTGACAATTCGTTGATCATGATATTCAATATTAAACACAGAGTAAGGTACTAGGAAATATACGATATCTGTGGCTGTTCGTAGTGGCTATCCCACCGACAGAGCAGAATCAAGATTTATGTACATAAAAAACTATGTACATCGTTAGGCCTAAGGTTTTAAGATTATTATAAGAATACAAAGTGTCATCGTATCAATTGCAACAATGAAATCAATTAATTGGCCATAATATTTTCTTTTAGGTACTTTTTTTACTTATTAAATACATAAATAAATAAATAAATAAATAGCGCTACTCTTTTCAAGCTCAAAGAAATTGGATCTATACAAAAATCTTTCAATATACAAGAACATCAAGATCTATTCTGTTTAATAAATACAAGTACTATTTTAAAAAATATATCATGTGAATGTAGAGATTATAATAATTCGAATATGTTATTGTTTTATTCGGTTTTAGCAAGATTCAGACTTATGATTGATGTATTTCAATAAATTCGAGACATTGAAAATCAAAAAGATGCATGATGGATAATTAAATAAATAAAATATAGTTTTGAAATGGGTGAACAGGTTGAAGACTAGAATTTGACTTTATCGATATTAAGAAATCAAAAAGAAACACAACATAATTTCAACTTTTGACTGTGCAATAAAGGTATCGACAAAGAATATCAGAAATAAAATACCTCTACAAAATTTGACTTTAATTTCATTTACTGAACATTTTCACATAGAATAGTATTCGTGGATCATTCAAGAAGTTTTTTAAATTCGCAATATTGTTACCTCAGTTTAAAACAACTTTATTAGATTCGTTCAAAATAATGTCGTTGTAGACTAATGCATTTATTCATTCTTTCGAATCAATATTGATAGAAGTGATAGAGATTTTCTTTTTAAAGACAGTTCATTTGGTGTTGGATACCAGCATGATGTACTTTAATGCAACGAAAAGTTTTGCTATAACGCTGTTCTTTAATTTTTGAACATAGACAGAAGTTAAAGAGACTTAAATCCGATGAATATATCGGGTGATTGATCAATTTAATATGTTGAGATGTTGATGTTTCTCCACTTGCTTCAAAATATTCGAAAGATATTCATTTGTATTCCATTTAACTGTCACTGTTCTCGAATTCGATCTTGTACAAGATTCATAATAATAATAATGAGAAAATCTGTTGGTAACACGTCAGTTTATCGACAAGAAAAACGAAAGAAAAATGCTCAAAAGTCAAAATTGCATGAACTTTGCTCTAACACTTGAATTTATCAGTAAAACTGCTTAAGTCACATATTTTTTCTTAATTTAATCAAGGATCTAAAACATTTCAGAGTGATTCATATAGTTTTTCATCGAATCAATAAATTAATGGTTTTCTTCTGTTTTTCAGATAATAGGCTTCGTTTCGCATACTCACATACCTTTTCACACATCATCAATTACATTTCAATTATTTCAATTAATATCCATTACTTCAATTGTTTCAATTGATCTTCACTACTTCAATTCTTCCAATTCTTCCAATTCATATCCATTACTTCAATTCATTCAGTTCATCTCCATTACTTCAATTCATTCAATTCATATCTATCACTTCAATTCATTCAATTCATATACATTTAAATTTACTTGTTATTCATTTATTAATATCTATTCAAAGATGGCCTCAATCGATAATACAACAGCAACCAACTCAACATCAACATCAACATCAACATATCCACCAACAGTTCAAACAGGACCAGTTAGAGCACACGATCAACCATATGCTCTCTATGGACATTGGGGTAAGAAAATATTGTGCTTGAAAATAATATATTTATTCTATGATCATCTTTATTTTTGCGTGCGTCACTTTAGACATTAAAAAATTACGTCATGACTTTAACTTCTACTTAATGGACAAAGAGGAAATTATTAAGGACAACAAAAGACAACATGCAGCACGCAAACAAAAGGGTTGCAAAGATTTTCGTGTGGACGCGAAATTATTATCACTCGCTGGTTTAAGCGACAAACCAAGTAAGATAAGTAGCTTCTATTCAAAGAAGCGGTCAGTGTATACTAAAAAGAATATGTGCTATACTGAACTTGTGCCTTGGATAAAAGACGTTTTGGTTCTATATAAAATTACTAGAATTTTTCTAAGTTCAACAGTTTCGTATAGAGCCGAAAAGGTTCTTGTTTTGGGGACAATTTCAGTAAAGCACACATTCTTTTTGCAATGTTTAATTTGTCATCTCTATCGTGTTCACATACATCATATTACAACATAAAAATTTTCTTTTACAGAAGAGATAGTTCTTAACACTATTCTCGAAATGTTCGAAGGCAACATCATCTACATTTGCGTGGGTTCAGAAGAGGACGATGATTACAACCAACGACGACTCAACGTCCAAATTATTTTAAAAAACGGTGTGAAGAAATATTCTCCATATTTATTAAAAGCCACTGGTAAGTAGCATTGCGAACAGCACGGAAAATGATATCATATCGATGTATCGGAGTGTTTATAACTTTCATTCTATTTAGGTATTACTTGGCTTTATCAATTAAGTACTGATGAATATGCTTGGAATGACTACATCAAACGTAGTAAGTAAATCTATTTCTTTTCAAGAACTTGTACATATGTTTCTACCCTCACTCTCATCCGCAAAGTATAATCATTTCATCGTATAATTAGGTATGGACTTCATAGAATATGGTACTTTCATAATTACAAGTAATCATGAAAAAATGGCTACATGGGAAGACGCTCTGGCTTCACGCACAACTCTGAAAGCTACGAAGTCTAAAAGTAAGAATAATTATAAAGTTGTAAATACTTCTATTTAAATTGTCATAGGTAACAAAAAACAAAAAAAAACATCTGATCCAGAGTTTTGCCGTAAGATTATTGCCATCGCCAAGCGAAATCCTATGGCGGCTATTGCAATAATCGAAGAAGAGGCACCCGAAGAATACTACAAAGATAGTGCAGCGTAAGTACATAGTGGTGAATACCGATTCTAAACTATTTTGAAGGTATTATATATATATTAATTTCATGATTTTTAAGACATCATCGGCGTTGTCAATCGATCGCGAATTTGGATGCGATTCAGAGAGCAGAGAAGATGCTAAACGAAACAACGTTAGTTTGGCTGCAAATCCAGCAAAACTGCTCTAAGAGAATACGTATGTGTCAGTTCCAGTGATATAGAAGCACTGGAACATCATTATATCTTATTTCTTCTTTTGTTTTTTGACTAGGGCGGGAACTGAATTATTGGATTGTGAATGATTTCATGAAACGCGGACGTTGTAGATGCTTAATAATCATTGGTCGCACTCAGACTGGTACAGAACAATCTAGCATGAAAAGAATTCAGTATTTACTATTTGTTTGTCTTTTTTTTTATTGAAAACTTAGGCAAAACAACATTCGCTCTGTCTTTACCGGGCATCTGTAATTATTTCAAATGTGGTTGGTCACTAGATAACTGGAAAAACTATGCAGGATACATAGTAATCGATGACGTCCCATGGGATAAATTTGAAGAGTATTACTTTCCAAGCAAAAAAGCACTTTTAACGGCAAATGTACCGTACTACGTGAGTGTTTTTCTTACATGTACATTTAATAAAAACTCGCTTATTTACATTTCTTCATGTACTTTAGGCCGGAGATAAAGGACAAAAAAGTAAACTTTTGGTTGGTGATATGCCAGCCATTGTTTTACTGAATCCAGAGGATGCTGGAAGCTTACTACGTGTGCCAAGAACAAACAAACAACGGCAAGAACGTGCTTACTGGGAGGAAAACAGTGTTGTGGTTATATTAGGTAAGAGCAAGAAAATGAATAATAGTAATTGTTTCATCTGATGTATTAATTTGAAATTTAGACGAAGATGAACATATATATAAAGGACCAGAACCAGAAGTATATGATCCGGAGAACTCGGATAAGTACGACTCGATCGAGCACAACACAGATTTCCTACGTATGTATAATGAAGAAGATATACCTTTGGAGATAAACACAAACATAATACCAAACGACTCGTCTCCAACATCATCTAATACAAGTAAGTTTTTCGTGTTATGTGAAGTAATACACAATTGTATGCTATTGATCTTATTATAGTTATTGATACAACACAAGATACCAACTTGTCCATTACTACTGATAATAATAATATGATAATAGAGACGACAAATTCTGCATCGAGCAATACAACAGCAGAAAATATACAAGAAGTAGAGAATGGATTTGTCTATAGTAAACAAAACTCTCATGCAAGGTATCATATATTCTGGAAACCTAAGATAGAAGAGGAGGGTTCGTACCGCTTACGCAGGAAAAAACGTACTGTATAATATTACTATTCTATAATACATGTATATTACTTTTTTGTGTGTATTTAATATGTTGTTCTTCGTTAGATAGTAGAATTAGTAGAAACTAACTTTGAATTCTTCTTGTTTTGTTCTTTGATTTGATTTTTTTTGTAAATAAAATGTAGATATATAATATTCAAGTTAATGTATGCTTACCGAAAGCTCGACGAACATCGATACATATTTATCTAGTATAAATCTTAATGGTATTATTGATTGAGAAAATGGAAGCACAAAACTTAAAGTTCATTTAGTATCGGTATTGGACAACGAAGAATTTAGATTGTATCATCGTCATCATCAATTTGTATCGATCCACTGTAGGATGAAGATCTTGTCAGCTTCCTTCCATTTGCTTCAACTAGTCGCTAGTTGTTGCAACATAACGTCTCTGTATTTAGCTATGTTGTGTATCCATCGTTTCTTATGACGTTTTCGACCTCTTCTATGATCTCTTGGTATCCACGTTAGGTTTTCTGATGTCTCACGTTGGTCTGATCTTCGAAGAATGTTGTGGATAGCCCATTGCCATTTACGTGAAGCGACTCTTGTCAATATGTCACATATTTTGGTTTATTATCGAACCCATGTGATTCTTTTCTTGTCGTGGAGAGATACATTGAGCATTTCTCGTTCTATGCTTCTTTAGGTGACCTTCAGCTTTGAAATCGCTTTTGTGGTTAGTGTTCATGTTTCACAACCATATATTAGCATGGAAAGTATGTGCTGATTGAGCACCTTTTCGTTTCAGCCAAACAGGCATATTACTTCTGAATATGAAGTTCATTTGACAAAACGCTCTCCAACCGAGCTTTATACGATTTAAAATTTTGTATCCTAATGTCGTCATTCATTGTAACTATTCGACCGAAGTAGATGTAGTCGTCGACCTATTCCAGGTGGTGATCATGTATTTTTATGGGCTATTATATAGAGTGGCTATCGAACATAACTTGACTCTTCTTTAGATTCATCTTATAGATCTGATAATTTGCAGTTTTCGCTTAGTTCTTTTATTACCATTAACTTTTATTACTGTTTCTGACCAAACTAATCGTTGGAATGTTTCCTCTAAACCAGTCGAAAACAACTTAGACGAAACGATACCACTTTGTCTCGCACATTCTCACACATTGATCATAACCGCATCATCATTCATATATATATATATAGCGGTGGTTGCATCCGTGTATATTGATTTCGACATGTTTATATATGGTTCTTCAATACTTTGACGTTGTAGTGCTTTGCATATCACACGCAGCTTGATACAATCAAATGCTTTTTTTCAAAATCTATGTAGGCGAGGTATAACAACAACTCATATTCATTGCATTGTTCAATAACCTGTTGTATAACCTGTATATTATCCACAGTGAAATGTTCGCTTCTAAAGCCTGCTTATTTATTCTTTTTGTGTTTTCGGTTGGACAAAGTCTAGTGTTTTTTTCGACAATGATCCGGGTAAGTAGCTTGTCGATGATCGAAAGTAATCTTATTGGTTTTCTTTCTTGTAGAGTATGATAGTATTGGTATCTTCCCATGATATCGATATGTTTCTCTGCTTCAGGCAATCAAGTAAATAAATCAATCAGCGTTTAGTGAGTCTCATTATCGCAAAATTCGAGAATTTCTTCTGTGACTGTGTGTTGACAAGCGGCTTTGCCATGCTTGAGGCTTTGAATCGCTTTTCATACTTCAGTTGGAAGCACGTCGAGGAGATCGGTTTTTTTGCGATATTGTTAGTTTGTTATTTGTTTGACGTTATCACCATATAATGTTCAATAAAATTCCATAACTCATTTTAGAATTTCCTGTTGGTTCGACGTTGTTGATTCATCTTCATTTTGGATCTTGTATAGACGTTGCTCATCTATCACACGCTTCTATTGTGTTCTCTTAAAACTTTTGATATTTTCAATTGCTTTTTGTATTAGGTAGCAATTGGATTTTCAAATCTACTTTCCCACTCATTTCCAAATAATCTTGCATAGTACGATATATTTAATGTTGTTTTTTGTTGATTTGTTGTGTTTTCATTCCCAATCTTTTTGCGCGTCAGTTGATTTGTTTCTTCTGTTATCCTGGTGTCTCGATTGTATTTTGTCGTGCCTTCGATCTCTTTAGCAATTGTTAAAAGAATCTCTGTGTTATGTTTGTTGATGTCCGATGAATGAGTACCATCTAGTTGCTCAAGTAGGCGGAATCGATTTCATAACTTTAGTTGCAAATGCATTTTTTTGCGCCGCGATTTTCTGGTAAGCAATGAATGTTATTATATTGAGAATTAACTTTTCTTGTTCTTCTTCTAGGTTAATTTTCAAGGATGGTCTATAAGAGTCGATAGTCACTGCCAATATTGAAACAATTAATGATCGAGCCATCGGCGAAAATCGATCTATTTTTTTTCATAGGATGTAGTCGATTTCGTCGGTCGTACCTTTTTACACTTTCCCATATCCATTTTCTATAGAATTGTTTCTTGACGTATGTGTTTAATACTAGTAGATGTTCTTTTCCGCAAATTTCACTAGTCTTGCTCGACGCTGATTCCTCGTACCAAATCCATGTGGTTCAACCATTTTTTCCATATTGATGTTGTTTTCTTACTTTTGTGCGTTAATGCTATGCATAACAATTCTAAAAATCGTGATTGTGTTCGTTAAGCCGCCGCGTTACCACGTCATAAAATTCTTCTATGTCTCAGTCGCGCTGTAGCTGCTTGTTGAAGCATATACTTGTATGATTTGTAACGTATAACGTTTTGATAGTTTGATTGTGAGACTGGCTACTCTATTGAAAGGATTGTTGATACTGGTAATGTTACTTTTCATTTTCTTGTTGATCATGATGCCGATATCACCAGTATTTCTGCCGTCTGATGTTCCACGATAATATGGTTGATAATTATGTTTGAGGTCAAGCAATCTTTCATCTTTTCGTCGAATTACGAATAGTTCAGTTATATCTCACGTGATGTTTTTTTTTGGTTCTAATAGTAGTTCTTTCTAACCTATTATTGTCTCGAAGGGTTCAGAGTTAAGCAACTCAACTCGAAGACAAAATCAATTTATTTCATTTTAAAAGAGGAAACCGTTTGTTGTGCTCAATTCAATACGTCAATTATTCAGATTCAGGCTGCTCTGATCAATATAATAGCATAAAATGGAAATATCAATTCAGTTAACTCTTATTCTAAGACTGAATTGATTTGATATGATTTGAGCTGAAATGAATTGGACCTTCCTTTGTTCTAAGTTGATTTGCTCAACTCTGCGAGAGTTCTAAGATTGAGTGTCCTAATGTTTAAATTTTGGGTGCAGCCTAATTAAACTCGGCGACTCTTAGTACCCACTGTCGTAGATAGTAGCTATCAGACCGCTTGGTAATGAGTGCCATTTTTTATAATTGAGATTTATTAACTATTGTATAGTCAAGATCGTATCCATACTTATAAATTGTTAACATCACGAGCTCAAAAATATTTCGAAGAATGTGATATCATTTCAAGATGGTAAGCTATATTGGTACATTGTTTTACTCTGTCTAAATTGAATTTTATTAGTATATTAATGAACACATAATGAATCCAATTCATATGATA